AAAAAAAAAAAAAGAAATGCATTATTTTCCCTTTAAAAAATATGTATATATTTTAAGTAATATGTGTATATTTTAAGTAATCTCTATGCCCAATGTGGGGCTCAAACTCAGGACCCTGAGGTCAAGAGTCGCATGCTCTACCGACTGAGCCTGCCAGGCACTGCCCCCCGACCCTAACCTTTGTCGACAACTGTTGAATGTCAAGTTGATCTTGGCCTCTGACCTGACTAAAATGCTTTTTTCCACTTTTCCCTGATTCCATTCTCACGATTCACTCTTAGTGATCAAGATGCTTTGGGTTGTTTGTCCTGCAGCAAGAGATTTGTTCTGTCCACACAGAATCAATCATCTTAGTTTGTCATTTTAAAGTTTCCAGCTAGAGGCACCCCTCTCAGCCTCCTACGAATAGCACAATGAGGGGCACCTAAGTGGCTCAGTCGGTTAAGCATCTGCTTTCGGGTCCTGGGATCGAGCCCCGCGTCAGGCTCTCTGCTCCGCGGGGAGCCTGATTCTCTCTCTCTCTCTCCCTCTGCCTGCTACTCCCCCTGCTTGTGCTGTCAAATAAATAAATAAAATATTAAAAAAAAAAAAGCACAATGAGAAATGACAGGCACTCTGACTGCCAGACACTGCAGCATATAAATGCCGGGTGGGTCACTTCTCCCTAATCACCGGAGCAGGAAAGCTTGCCTCTCTTCTAAAGAAAACACATAGCTGCTCCTTTGCAGGCCTGTGAGCTGAGCAGGGCTCAACTTGAGCCACACCACGTTTGGGCGACTACCAGATGTGGAGGCTGTGCCTGGACTGCGTGGATTCTCTCCTTTTTGCCCCTTCAATATCTGAGCATCCAAACCACATCTCAGGAAGCTTCCCCCCTGCCCCCATCTCAGGAAGTTTTTTACTTTCAAAAAGTACTTAAAGGGGGGCGCCTGGGTGGCTCAGTCGTTGAGCGTCTGCCTTCGGCTCGGGTCATGGTCCCAGGGTCCTGGGATCGAGCCCCGCTTCGGGCTCCCTGCTCTGTGGGAGGCCTGCTTCTCCCTCTCCCACTCCCTCTGCTTGTGTTCCCTCTCTCCCTGTCTCTCTGTCAAATAAATAAATAAAATCTTTAAAAAAAAAAAAAGTACTTAAAGGGGCACCTGGGTGGCACAGTCAGTTAAGCGTCCGACTCTTGATTTCGGCTCAGGTCATGATCTCAGGGTCCTGAGATCAAGTCCCATGTTGGGCTCTGTGCTGAGCGTGGAGTCTGCTTGAGATTCTCTCCCTTTCCCTCTCCCTCCCCCTCTGCCCATGATCATAACTCCACAGATCTTGATTGCTTAAGCAGGCAAAATTTCATCACTCCATCACTCCAAATAGTTTAATGGGTGAAGTACAATAACTATTTTATGATTCTTTTCTATACATTGTTGCCAACTCACTCTTACCAATCATCTCAGACCATAAAATCCTCAGTGTTGAATATAAAAGGGCATGTTTTATGAAAAATAAATCTCGTAAGTTTGGGGGAAGAATCTGATCACATATTCTGATTTTTTTTAAGATTAACTTATTTATGTTTTAAGATTTTATTTTTAAATTTATTTTAGAGATAGAGAGTGCACATGAGATGGGGGGAGAAGCAGAGGGACAGAGACAAGCAGACTCCGAGCTGAGTGTGGGGCCCGATACGGGGCTCAATCCCACGACCCTGAGATCATGGACCTGAGCTGAAATCAAGAGTTGGAGGCTTGACCGACTGAGCCACCCAGGTGCCCCTGCATATTCTGATTTTTTATTCCAAAAATATCATCATACTGGGGTGCTTTTTATAAACTTTATCCAAAATTATTTGAAGCAAAAACAAGTATTTCCGAACAACTTTCAAAGGTTTGCCCTCAGCGGTTTGTAACTGTTTAGGGATTTGTCCTTGAAAGATATCCTCTTTGGGACAAAAAGTGGGGTTTTGGCTGTGTGCTTTCTAGATACTTAAAATACTGAGTTTTCGGGTGTGAATTTAGGTTTTACGGTGTGAGTAAGGTATGGAATAGGAGAAGGGCAGAAGCTCCCTTTGGCAGCACATACACTGAAGTAGATACAGATACTGAGAAGATTAGCATGGCCTGCAGAAGGAAGACACGGAAGTTTGTGAAGTATTCTCTATTAGAAACCAAACCAAACAAACAAAAAAGAGCTCGGGCAGATATCATCACCTTTAAAAAGACTCATGCAGATGTGTGAGGCAGGATGTGGGGTGGGCAGTATTTGGGAATTCTCTGTACTGTGTCCTCAATTTCTCTGTAAATCTAAAACTGTTCTCAAAATAAAGTCTATTAATTAAAAAAAAAAAAAAGGGACACCTAGGTGGCTCAGCCGGTTAAGTGTCTGCCTTCGGCTCAGGTCATGATCCCAGGGTCCTGGAATCAAGCCCCACATCAGGCTCCCTGCTCGGCCAGGAGCCTGCTTCTCCCTCTCCCTCTGCCCTGCCCCCCCTCCTTGTGATCTCTCTGTGTCAAATAAATAAATCAAATATTAAAAAAAAAAGCACAAACACTGGACTTGTACTAAAATTTGTGTTGCCATGTGGTTCTAATCATTAGTCATCCAGGTCATGGTGGTGGCTGACGGAGTTTACAAGTGATAGTGAAAAATACACCGGGAAACTTTCAATCCGATGTGATAGGAAGAGGGGAAAGTAAAAACAGGAGGCCTGGCATGAACTCAAGTGACCCTTCTTCAACACGACCCCAGCATGTGGACATGACAGGCTGCAGTTGGCAGGCTGTGCTTGCTGCTCAAGAGAAAGCTAAAAATATAAAACACCTGTTCACGTAAGGTGATGCAGTTAACCGATCAAAGGAAACAATTGGCTAGAGAGAAAGAATTTTAATCAGTGGGTTAAAAAATGTACGTAACCGTGTTGAACATGATATATGTCATACTAAACTCTGGCTAATACATGAATTGTTTTCTCTATGTGGTAACACCTTAGCATGAGCAAACCTGATAAATCATTGACCATTCATTGCTAGAAAGCTTTGACAGAAGACTTTTTTTGAACAAAGCACACTCTCAGAATATGTTTAAAATAGAATTTGAACTCTTAAAATTGATTTGCACATAATTTTAGAGAGAATGTCTACTGGTTAAAATGTATATCTGGGCTGTAGGTTCATGAGCACACACTTCAATTTCTGACAAAGGAAGCTTTTCTATACATCATAATAAAATTTTACTTTATGAAAAAAAGTAATCTAATTCATGAGGTATGTATCGTGAGGGCTTGCATGCAATGTGAGCCCCTGGTGTAAGGTCAGTGCATGATGAACACACGACACAGTATACCGCAAGTGAACGAAGTTCCCAATCATACAACTCCCCTCATTACAGAATGTGTTTGACCCAAAACATGGCAGCCTATGGGTATGTGTATATGTGCAAGGATGGGTACACTGTCATGGTGGCGCGGCCTCTCTTTGTGGCAGGATATCTGTTCCTGGACCAGTTTGGCTTCCTATCTGGAACCGGCTCTTGGCTGGGATTTGTGCTTCTCTTTGGAGAGCATGACACTGTGAATCCTGGCTTCTCTGTCTGTGCAAACAAGATAAAAAGTTGAATCACTTTAGGTTGTGATTTCTAAAGTTATAGTTAGGGTTGGGGTTGGTTTTTTTTTTTTTAAAGATTTTTTTTTTTTTTTTATTTGACAGAGAGAGATACAGCGAGAGAGGGAACACAAGCAGGGGGAGTGGAGAGGGAGAAGCAGGCCTCCTGCCGAGCAGGGA